CTTGCTGGGGAGATCCACACTGTCTTCGTGTAGGGTCAAATATCGACGTTATTATGTGTCCGTTATACTAAAGTGACTCTCTAAATAGAGGTCTAGGATTCGGATCATACCACTCAGTCCTGAGACCTAATTTATAACACGATTTGATTTTAGTATTTAAAATAAAAGGTGACTAAAAAATAAAATTTTCGAATCATCCAATTCCGACCCAAAAATTTCAATTGTAAAACAAGTGATTTCATCCCCATTTTGTGCAATTTCCATTTCCGGTTTCTACCCTTTACCTTTTAAAAAGTCATCTTTTCGCTGCCGAAAAAAAAATATTACAAATTAAAGTCATCTTTTCGCTGCCGAAAAAAAATATTACAAATTAGGTGCCGATTTCTACCCTTTACCTTCTAAAAAGTTGTCTTTTCACTTCCGAAAAAGAAATATTATGAATAAATAAACCGTAAGTGCCAATTCCGATCAAATCCGTACGATTTCGACCCCACCACGCACTCTCTCTAGTATTTTTTTTGTCCTTACATACCTCTCTAGAATTTTGCTACAACTAGGAAATAGGTTCTTGAAAATTAAGGAACAAGTGTTCTTATTAGAATTTAAATTGCAGGGGTGCAGATGATGAAAGCAAAGATATTCAGAAATACAAGGCCGATGTACGAAAGAAGTTGATTAGCAACGGCTACCGCATTTGGGGCATATTAGGTGATCAATGGAGCAGCATCGACGGTCTTCCTGCACCTAAAAGAACCTTCAAACTCCCTAATCCTATGTATTATGTCGCTTAATCACTCTCCTTAATTACTCGACACCCTTTTCATTTTCACTGTAATAAAAACTCTTACCAGAAAGATCCCGATAAATAAACTGTTTATTCGAATTCAAGAACCAAGGTTTTCAGACAAGCTAAAAACATTTTATTGATCATAATAAACAAGAGAGACTCATACCATAAATATTTACTTCGTCGTCTCTAGAAAGTTACATACGCACGAAGGTGTATCTATCGCTGTATACGCTCTTTTCGCACTTCACTTCATCTTGTCTTCGGCTCCCCTTTGCATCTTGGCGCAGTACTCGAATAAACTGCCGTCGTAGCTTCGCCTTATCGCCTCCTTCGACAGAAACCCGTCTTGGTCCCTCGCGAGTACGTAGAGTGTGCCCCACTCCATTTTGCTCGCGAGCCTGCAGATCGTTAATTATTTATTTATTTATTTTGAATTTTAGGTGAAATTACGAAAGTAGCCTTGAAACTGCGATTTACCAGCCGAATAAGTCGAAGGCGTCTCTGTTGGCCTCGGTCATGTTCCACAGCTCTCTTAGTGTGAGCTTGTCGGGATAAGTTCGTGCGTGTTTGCTGAACACATTCTCGAATTCACTGGCAATACCTGAAAAATCGGATTTATTATGTTCCCTATACTACTACAACCTGCGATGCGTATTTA